ATATTTAGTCAGCTGTCCAGCTCTGCTCCACAATTTCACGCACTTTTCTGTTATATTCGCGCTTATTCTCACTAAACATTCTTGCTGCTTCTGAATTTGCTGGTGAGTTTGGATTTGGATCACATAGCAATGACTATATAATAATAATAATTATAAATAAAGATTAGGACTTAATATGTTGTATAAACATTGTATCAAAGAAACTGTATACCTGAATTGATGTAAGGATGGCAGCAACATCATAAATTGGACTCCATTGATTTTGAAGAATGTCCAAACATATGCTTCCATCTGCATAAACTAATGAGCAAAATAAAGAATGCAATGGAGTTAAAACAATGTCACCATGTAAAGAAGAAGAAACACTCTCAATCTCAACTTACTATTGGGGTGAAACATTCGAGAAATGAATCGCACTGTTGGTGGCTTGTTTGGATAATCTTCTGAAAACTGTAGTGTCAACTTGAACGTACCTGAGATCAATTTAAGTATTATATGCAACAGATGAACAGAATGTATGATAAAGATGGGAATCCCTTGAATCATTTGTCATTATGGATTAATGAGTGAAAGATGAAGTCCAAACTCACCTCCATCCCAAGGAGTGTCATCTGGTCTGAAAAGCAAATAGAAGTAATCAGTGAATGATCATTTCATTTCAAGAAAAAAGAAAGACCATATGATGATGAAAAGAAGATGAATTTACACTCCAACATACCCAAAAATGACAGCATTCCATAGCATTATATTGTTATCCACAGGTGCACCACTGATACCAGCAGGAGGATCCTGCTGCAACCTCTTGAAGTCCCTCATTAGCCTCTTCCTTGAAGGTGTAGACATTCTCCTCCCCTGTTACAACTGAATTCAATGAACAGGAAAAAGTAAGAACATTCTCGTGTCGTCTACATGTTAATCATCTACATAATTGATGCCATGAGTGGTTGGATGTGTGTTTCAGTGTTTGTAAAGTGATTCTTGCGAATTATTGTGAATAATTAGTTTCGAACTTGTTTACTTAATGCTCCAGATAGTATATAATCAGAAAATTAGAGTCATAAGCTCGAAATCGCACTTTTGCAAGCAATCAAAACGCAATAATCATTTTATAAGAGCATTCAACCCCTAGAATCATCGTGAAAACAGAACCACAGAAAAGAAACAAGTTCCCTAATCAAATTATTAGAATGTGAACCCTAGATCTATAAATACGGACCAATTGCACAAAACATGAAGCGATTTTAAACCCGAAAACCAATTAGAGAAGGTTTTATTGTTCAATTCTAGGATTCCGGTAGGTACGTTGACTATGGAGATGATTATGTGACAATATGAATGTGGAGTAAGAGAGAAATGGAAGATAGGAAGGAGGATTTTGCCTGAGGGGTTAAGCAGCGGAGAGCGGCGGTGCGGATGAACCGGAGTGAAGAGGAAAATGATGATCAGCCGCCTGTGGCCGTGGGGGAATCCGTGACCTCCGTCTGCAGTTTGGCCTTTTAAACTCGTGCCTCGGAAACGAAGATGAAGGTTCGACTTCGCGTAACATGTAAGCTGGTGATATATCGTTTGTATGTCGTCATGTCGGCATAACACATTTGTTAAAATAGAATAATAACAAAAGTAAATTACAAAAATATGAAATCACAAAATTTATTTATCTATCATCGTTGTCGTCCACTTAAAAAAAAGCTTTATTGATTTTATTTTAATTGAAAATATAGAATCATTGATCTATGACGTCTAAAAGTCAAAAATACATTTTTCTTAGATACAAATATAAGTGAAAATATCACTTTCAAACTAAAGAATCATTTAAGACCATCTCCAACACATCTCCATTTCCCCTCTCATAAATGAAGTAAAAATGGAGTAAATTGTGTTTCATCTCCGACCCTACTCCATTTTCTACCCCATTTTTTACCCCACAAAGTATATTCCTAAAATATTCCATTTTTATAACTTATATATATTGTCAAATACACCCCTCTACTAATTAAACTCTATATTTATGATTAATTAATATAAATTAATATATAACATGATATTATAAATATTAAATATTACATTTAAATTATAATTAGTAGATAAAATAAACTAGAAATGTATAAAATAAAAATGAGAGAGACTAAAATTGGCAACCAAACTTCACCTCCATTTTTGGAGATATTAATAGTATTCCCCCATATATGGGGGAATACTATTCATATCTCTAAAAATGGAGGTGAAAATGGGATAGGGTTGGAGAATAATAGAGGAAGAAATGAGAGAATAAATGGAGTTTGAGGGTGGGTTGGAGATGCCCTAAGACATAAAAGTCAAATCATATTTTTCTTAAATAAATGGATACAAATATAAGTGAAAATATCACTTTCAAATGGGTTATTTGATGTTGAAAGTAACAAAATATATAATTTATTACCTACGACACTGCTCATATGTATATGCGGAATACAAAACAAGTTCTTACAATGAGTCTATATGTGTTGGTGCTATTAGGTGTAATGCAATAATGTGCTCATGATGATCCAACCAATGGTTTGAACACTGAACTTGACACCGAACTAGTCGCTTTACTTTGATGGTTCAACTGGTTTGACGAACCGGTCTCAAAAAACTTAAGTCGTAGATCTTTGAGAGCTCTATAAAAAGAATGGAGTGCTACATTTTATAATATTTTTATAAATAAACTAGTGTTTTGTGTTTTGATCAGACTCATTTTGGATTGGTCTTTGGTTGAACTGTTGGGTTTTCACAGGTTTGATTACAAGTGGTTTTTAGGCCTTAAAAAGATGGTAGCCTGACCGGTTTCCGGTTGGAAACGACCGGACCGATTTTCAAAACCATATATCCAACATTTTGCGGCGATGAATCAACAATCTAGCAACCAACTTTTAAAAACCCTTCAAATATGTGTTCGTGGTTTAAAAAGTCGCAATTTTGGTCTTTTTTTTTTTAAAATTTCATTAGTAAAGTTGGGTTAAGTATATGTGAAATGACAAATACACCCTTCTACTTTTTCCTCTTGTTCTTTTTATGAATGATGCCCGAAAGTGGTGATTTAGGTCGAAGGCAATGATGGTGGTGGTGGAAATGGGTGGAGGTGGTGGATGAAGGCGATGATGGTGGTAGTGGTTGCTGTGGTGCATGTGCATGTTAAAGACAGTGATGGTGATAATGACAATGGTTGAAGGCGGTGATGGTGATTGAAGGCAACGATGTTGGTAAGTTACTGAAGGCGGTGGATAAATGCGGTAGTGGTGGTGGTTAAAAAGGATCACCTTTTCATTTTTTAAATAGACATATAAACCAATTCTAAAATTTTAACGAAGACATATTGACCCTTTTAAAAAAATAACAAACAATAATTAAACGATATGTTAAAAAAAAACATCTCTACCATTTTTTGAAACCAATGCCAAATTTGAAGCATTTTTAAAAGATTAAAAATCACACAAACCATGTTTTAAATTTTGTGTTATTTATAATTTAGTCTGATATTTTTTTTGGGAAAATGACTTATCAAGGTAATTAACTTTTCGGTATGTTCACATATGGGTAACTATCTTTTTTTTTGTACACATCTAGGTAACAAACTTGTTGGAAGTGTTCACATATGACCATTATGACCTGTTGTAGCAGGTTAAATCCTAGATGTGAACACTTTCAACAAGTTCGTTACCTAGATGTGTACAAAAAAAGTTGTTACCCAAATATGAACAAAACGAAAAGTAAGAGTAAATTACACGAATGGTCCCTGTGGTTTGGGGGAATTTGTGTTTTTGGTCCCTAACTTATTTTTTTAACTCGGATGGTCCCTACTGTTTATTTTTGTTGCACGTTTGGTCCCTGTCTTACCTAAAAAGACTATTGTGCCCTTATTAATTTATTTTTTAATTAATTCTCTTATTTATGTATTTATTTTTTTATATATTTAAAAAAATTAATAGACCCCACATATCTGTATCTCCTCGCCGTAAACCTGAAACCACATTTGAGAAATTTAATTTAGGTCTCACCGGTCACCATCCTATCTCTCATCCTCCTCAACTTCTATTTATTTTCCATCTTTAGTGATATCGACGTATTCACCATGCTTCTTTTTTTGGTCCTTCAACTCTGGCGAACCAACACCATAACCCACTGTCTCTTCATCTTTAGTGGGTTCACTGGGTTGTGGTGTTAATTCGACGGAGTTGAAGGACCGAAAAAAAAGGGATGATGAAGACGTCGATATCACTAAAGATGGAAAATAAATAGAAGTTGAGGATGGGAGATGTGATGGTGAGGAGATACAGATATGTAGGGTCTATTAATTTTTTTAAATATATAAAGAATAAATACATAAATAAGAAAATTAATTAAAAAAATTAATTAATAACGGCACAATAATCTTTTTAGGTAAGACAGAGACCAAACGCATAACAAAAATAAACAGTAGGGATCATCCGAGCTAAAAAAATAAATTAATTAAAAAATAAATAGTAGGGATCATCTGATGAGATACAGATATGTGTGGTCTATTAATTTTTTTAAATATATAAAAAATAAATATATAAATAAGAAAATTAATTAAAAAATAAATTAATAAGGGCACAATAGTCTTTTTAGGTAAGACAGGGACCAAACGCGCAACAAAAATAAATAGTGGGGACCATCCCGAGTTAAAAAATAAGTTAGAGACCAAAAACAAAAATTTCTCCAAACCACAGGGACCATTCGTGTAATTTACTCTTACTTTTCATTTTGTTCATATTTAGGTAACTATTTTTTTTACACATCTAGGTAACAAACTTATCAAAAATGTTCACATCTAGGATATAACCTGCTACAGCAGGTCATAATGGTCATATGTGAACACTTCCAACAAGTTTGTTACCTAGATGTGTACAAAAAAGATAGTTACCCATATATAAACATACCGAAAAGTTAATTACATTGATAATTTTTTTTTTTTTTTTCACCGCTTAAAAAACAGTGCGTAGGCTAGAACGTTGGAATGGGTTTTGCAATGGACATGTGAGTAAACCATTTCCGCTGTAATGATTTAGGGCAAACAGGAATAACAAAGGAGGAAGACGAGCTTCAAACACAGCTGGTAACCATTAAACACCACTCTCAGCCGTCAGTAATGATTCCCATCTCCAGGCGATACAAAACCCTAGTTTTTGATGCATAAACACTATATGGGTTATCTCAATAGAGCGTCCAAAGCAATCCAAGTAGTCAATCGCAAATACAGACTCAGCCCCAATCATCACCGTCATTGTTATAGGTTAGGATTACCTTATTCTAGCTCATATGAACACGGATTTTGCTCCAATTCGCGGAATAGTAACCGCAAAGACGATAACAACGCCATAGATTTGAGCCAATATCCTACAGAAAAAATTCGGAATTTCTCCATTATTGCTCATGTTGATCATGGAAAATCTACACTGGCTGATCGACTTCTTGAGCTTACTGGTACTATTAAGAGAGGCCTTGGGGCCCAATACCTTGATAAATTACAGGTACACAATGCCCATTATCATTGCTTTCGTTTCAGTATTTTTTTCGTATTACTTTATCTCGTCTTCATTTTCTAATTTTCTGAATGCTGTGGTTGATTGGGTTTGTAAATTAATCCCATTTAGGGGGTGTTTGGATTGTAATAGGTTGAGAAAGAAAGAGGAATCACTGTTAAAGCTCAAACAGCCACCATGTTTTACAACTACAAATCAAAAGAGAGCTCCACAAGCTATTTACTGAACTTAGTCGACACACCTGGCCATGTTGATTTCAGCTATGAAGTATCAAGATCTTTAGCTGCTTGCCAGGGTGCCCTTTTGGTAGTTGATGCAGCTCAAGGTGTTCAAGCTCAAACAGTCGCAAACTTTTACCTTGCATTTGAATCCAACCTTTCAATAATACCAATCATAAACAAAATCGATCAACCAACAGCTGACCCTGATCGAGTCAAATCCCAGTTGAAATCCATGTTTGATCTTGACCCAAGTGATGTACTTTTAACCTCTGCTAAAACCGGTCAAGGTCTTGAACATGTGATTCCGGCTGTAATAGAGCGGATTCCGCCTCCTCCCGGAATGTCTGATTCCAATCTTCGTATGTTTCTGTTGGATTCTTATTACGATGAGTATAAGGGGGTGATATGTCACGTGGCGATTGTTGATGGGTCTTTGCGTAAAGGTGAAAAGATTACATCAGCTGCAACGGGTCAATCTTATGAGGTTTTGGATGTTGGAATCATGCATCCAGAACTTCGGAGTACTGGATTCCTTTTGACTGGTCAAGTTGGGTATATGGTTAGTGGTATGAGGTCAACTAAGGAGGCGCGTGTTGGAGATACATTGTTTCATAACAAAACTATTGTAGAGCCTCTACCAGGTAAATAATTATCTTAAAATATAAAATTTAATGAAAACAAATTAACATAGCATTCAGATTCCTAATTGTTATTACTTGATATGTATATAATGATTAGGGTTCAAGGCTGCAAAACATATGGTTTTTTCTGGACTTTATCCTGCTGATGGATCTGATTTTGAAGGATTAAATAATGCAATTGAGAGATTAACATGTAATGATGCAAGTGTCTCTGTTGCTAGAGAGAGTAGTACAGCACTTGGACTAGGTTTCAGGTATGTGAATTCTTTTTGTCCTTTTTTTTGTAGATTTAAATTCACATGTATGCGACATAGTTTCATCTTTTTCCCAATTAACCAATTTATGCAACAAAGTGGTTTCTAGAATTTATACAAAGTATGCAATGTCGTTTTATTTTGTATAAAGTATAACAAAGTGGAACATTGTTGCATCAATTGGTTAAAAAAGTGAAATATTTTTGCATAAATTGGTAAAAATGGAACATTGTTGTATAAATAATAATAGTTATTATTATTATTTGTAGGTGTGGGTTCTTAGGATTACTCCACATGGATGTTTTCCATCAGCGGCTTGAGCAGGTTTTCTTTCTTCTTTTTTGGGCTTTTAAAAAGGGAAAATTACATAAAAGCCATTACTTTTATCAACCTTTTACCTAAAACACCATTATGATTTTTTTTTCTTCATTTCAGCCATTATTGACCTACCAAAATTGGTTACCATGTTTAATTGGCTTACATGGACAAATTTTAATAAGGTGACATCTGATGTGGCAAGGGAAATGTCCACATAAGCATATACTAATGGACACCTTTTAGACACTTTAACACTCTTATATGGACCTTTCTATTGCCACATCATTAAAAATTGTCCATGTAAGCAAATCAAATCTCTTAACTGGTTTTTTTTGTCAATCCTGTCTGAAATGGAAATTTTCTTTTATAAACTTACTTTTATGTAAAAAAATTTCATAATGGCTTTTCAGGTAAAATGCTGATAATTTAATGGCTTTTCTGTAGTTTGCCCTTTTAAAAAAATGAAATAAGACTTTATTAACTCATCAAACACTTGATGGAAATTTAACTTGTATAAAATTTTATTTTGAAAGTGTTATATGCATATTTGTGTTGTAAATGACAGGAATATGGAACTCATATTATTTCCACTGTTCCAACTGTACCATATATCTTTGAGTATTCAGACGGGAGGTTTGACTTTTTGACCTATATGAATACACTCTAGTAGCTTTTTTGTCAAATGTTTTTTCTTTTTTAATTAATTAATTAATTTATTTCAGCAAAGTAGAGGTTCAAAATCCAGGTGCTTTCACTGCAAACCCTAAAATCCGAGTGGTTGCTTCTTGGGAACCTACAGTATTGGCAACAATTATTATCCCCAGTGAGTAAGCTCTCAAAATCCCTAATTTTTTTTTATTCCCAAATGGTAAATTGTATAAATGACTGAAATACCCTTTTCTAAAACCCTATTATTAAAATTGTAGTATCTTGGTTTCTTCTTTTTGACGAAATGCAGAAGGTCACTCAGGGAAATGTAACTTTTTACAAAATTGCCCTCAATTGATTTTTCCTTCCATTTACCCAAATATTTGGTTATTTTCTCAAATATATTTTTTTAAACATCATATTTATTCATACAACATTTTATTTTATTGAAGGTATGTGGGAGCTGTTATTACTCTTTGCTCTGAAAGAAGAGGGGAACAATTAGAGTATTCATTTATCGATAGGTAAGTTGATGATGTGTGCACACCAAGTAAATGAAAGTTTTCAAATATTACCATTTTGCCCTCTTTTGAGTATTAAAACTTGTTGTTTGCTTGGCTTATATACAGTCAAAGGGCATTTATGAAGTATAGGTTACCCCTAAGGGAAATTGTTGTTGACTTCTACAATGAACTAAAAAGTATTACATCTGGTTATGCTTCATTCGATTATGAAGATTCAGAGTAAGTACAAATTACAGTTTTGGTCCCTGTGTTATATCATTTTTTCAGGATATGGTCCAAAGAAGAAACTTTTTTGCATTTTTCATCCCTACTCTATTGTTTCTTAACATTTGTCTTTCCTGGGGTGTGCAAATTAAGATCCATCTCGTTAAATCCATGACAGTGACCATTTTACCCTTGCGTTGGTACATTAATAGAGTTAATGACCATTTTACCCTTGTACCTTTACAGGTATGTGGCTTCTGATGTGGTGAAACTTGATGTTCTTTTGAATGGACAACCTGTTGATGCAATGGCAACTATTGTTCATAATTTGAAAGCACAACGTGTTGGTCGTGAACTTGTAGACAAACTCAAGAAATTTATCGATCGGTTTACCAAATTTTCTCAACCACTTTTTTATTTATTTTTATTTTTTATTTTTTATTAAATAATCAACCCTCTTAACATTTCTTGCATTCAAACAGACAAATGTTCGAGATCACAATACAAGCTGCCGTTGGATCAAAGGTCATTGCTAGGGAAACGTAAGTAACACTCCCTCTCATTCCACAAATGTACAAGGGTATTTATGTCTTTTGCACATGTGAGAGATCAAAAGCGAGTCCTTATTCCACCTTGTTCTATCTACTTTGGTGGGACACAAATTTGCAATTTTTTTCCCATTGACTTAGTCTCGTTCTACAAAACTTGCAAATTAGACTAAGAGGAGGGTATTTACGTCTTTTGCGCAAAAGAGGAGGGTATTCATGTCTTTTGCACATAAGAGAGAACGAAGATGTGTCCATGTTATACCTTCTTGGGTGGGACAAGAAATTGCAATTTTTGTCCTGCTGGCGTCAGCCTCGTTCCACAAACTTGCAAATTACTCTACAAGGAGGGTATTTACGTCTTTTGCACAGAGGCGGAAGGAAAGCAAGTTTATGTTCCATGCCTTTTTATTGTTTTGTCCTGGACTATGTGTTGACAATATGTCCCATTTTGGTATTTTTTTTGCGGTGATATTTGACGTTTTTGCCCTTTTTTAGGATTTCGGCTTTGAGAAAGAACGTTCTTGCAAAATGTTATGGTGGAGATGTGACAAGGAAGAAGAAATTGTTGGAGAAACAAAAAGAAGGAAAGAAGAGAATGAAGCGTGTTGGGTCAGTTGATATCCCTCAAGAGGCTTTTCACGCAATACTGAAAGTAGGCTAACTTTTACAAAAAAATAAACCTCACAAGGTGAAATTTACAAAAAAAAATAATAATTTCGAGGCCGAATATTAAAGGAGATAAATGCATGTGCTAGTCTTTTGGCTCATCTTCAGAAAAGGGTATTTTTGGTAGTCTAAAGGTAACCAACCAATCATGGATATCTACATTGAAAAAATACAATTTTGCCCTTCAATATTATAGAGACGATCGAGATAGGGGTATTTATTTTTGGTAACTAACTAATCATGGATATCTATCTATCTACATTGAAAATATATTTTTTCCCTTTGTTATTCGTTGTAGAATATTCATACATATGATATATGTCTTTCAAAAGACTTACGAATGTCAACGTATTTTATTATTGTTATTGAATGCACTACAAATTTTGAAAATGTAGTAGCTTATTATTTTTTTTTTTATTGTTACTGACAAATTTTAAAAATGTAGTGTATATTTTAGGATTTAGGACGAGGGAGAGGGGATCCGTTAAGGAAACTATGAAACAGTGTGAGAGCTTGTGATGGTGATGTGAATGGAACTTCATGGGCTGCTTCTCGTACTGTTGCATATGTTAAATACGTAATGTTTTTTCCGTCTTTTAGTCCCCCAAAAGACTGCGACCAACCTCCCACCTACAACATCATACATATTGTTAGTGAATCATATATTTTCTATAGATAAATCAATTTTCTAAGTGGAAAAATACAAGAATATAATTCCTCAAAATCAAAATCAAATTCGTTATGCTTACTTGTTTCTCATTGTACCAAGTCCTGTATTTTGAGAGTGTTGTGAGCTTAAGTCCTTTTGCGATGTTATTAGCAATGATCCTTGTTTGTGTAAGCGGGATTTTTGAATCTTGATCTCCACTGAACAAGGTATATACATTAGGTTCAGTGGTATACTTGCAGAAAAAGTCAAAGATTCAAGTCCTAGATATGGGACAAATTAAAGCCTCCTAATCATTCAGACCTCTGAATCAATCAAAGGCTGTCAAACAGTTTTTAGTGTACCTGTAAAGAAAGATGGGAAGACCAGCCTTTATGAGGTTGGAGACGAGTGGAATTATGTTTATTTCAAGATTCTCTTCTTGATAAACCAATGGCCTACAACATTTTTTTATCGAAACGTAAATTCATATTTAAAAAACATCCGTCACATATGAAAACATCTATATTTTTCCATAAAAAAGAAAAAAAAAGTAAGAGAAAGTAGCAAACCCTAGACAAAAGTCCCAATGCCCAGGAAGATCGGTCGTGTTAGCATAAAGTGCCTTTTGCACATCGTGTCTATTCAAATACGTTAAAATCCTTGATTGCAAACACGGGTCACTTGTGCTTCTGACTCTGTCAATCTGCCAGAAACAAAATTTTAAATTTGATAAAACCAAAAAAAAAAGGATTTGAACACAAATATGGGTTCAATCGAAGTATGCAATAAAGTTGCACACTTGGACCGGACCGGACCAGCAGAGTGAACCAGTCTGGTCTCTGGTCCGGCCTGCGTACAACACTGTGTTTTGTACCGATGAATGTGCCTTTGCGTGTAACCCTCGAGGTTTAAATTGCTGAGCTGACGGTGTTGATAAACATTTGGGCAAAAGCAGATCATCAAAAGCAACATCTTCACTGACTTCATTATCGACACGATTGAAAACATCATTACAACCTTGAGACCATCCTGAATGGATGTACTCTCGAAGATACTTTGAATCGTTGCATACGGTTTTTTCTAGCATTAAAGTTTTGTCTGAAATTGCACCATGTGACCATAAATATTCTCCCGCAAGAACACTAATGTCTATGTCTAATAGCGGATTTCCAATCTACCAAAAAAACATAACAAATGTTACAAAAGCTAATTATAATAAAAAAGAAGAAAAACGATTAATCTTGAATTTCTTTACAGCAATTGCTTTGAGGTTGATTGGAGAAACGCCCGGGCTCTTGTTATAGTTCAAGATTAATTCTGCTACTTGTGGAATATAATGGCCTACAATAATTTTTTTTTTTATAAATTAAAATAATAGAAATACATATTTTAGGGAATTAAATTTGGATTTTTTTTGAATTAAGTTATTGTCAACTTACCTGCATAGCTTTCCCCGACCAAAAAGAATTGCGAGTCTTTGTACAACGGAAACTTTTCAAGCCATTTTGTGATAAATACAAGATTATCATAAGCTGTCATCATTTAAAGTAAAAGTAGTAAAAAATTAAGATAACTTTTTCTAGTTAAACATAGAAAATGATACATTTCGAATAGTAATACAGAAACATAGGAAGGGTATTTTTGGATTGATTTAAAAAAAATATTGTAAATGATGAAAAATAAAATAAATGCAGATTAAATATGTTTAGAGCTTCATAAACATTGTGATGTAAACCTGTATTGGTGTCATTCCAATCAATGTAATCTTCATCGGTTTCCGAGTAAGAAAAACCAACCCCAATTGGTGATTCAACGTATAACATGTTGGATTCTGTAACGCAAAATTATATAAGAAATTAAATCCGTAAAGTAGTAAACCATATATGTTTTTTCTATATATAAAATTTACCTAAATTCCAAGAGTATTGATTCTTGACAAGTTCTCCATTTTCACCAACTTGAAACGGTCCATTTTCCATGAATGCCCCAAAACCAACGGAAGAACATCCAGGACCTAAATTATAGTGAATTAATTATAAATAAAACTTTTACAACAACAAAAAAAAATCATATATATATAATATGTGTATGTATTATATGTAGACATACACAAGACGAGTCAACTCATCAAGTGACAATCCCAAGCCCAATCAAATCAGATTTTATTTACGAGTCACTCGATTGAGTTTATTCAAATCATATAACATAATTAATAAGGAAACTTTTGTAGTTTGAATATATATATATATATATATATATATATATATATATATATATATATATATATATATATTTGTAATTTTGTATAAGTAACATCATAAGAAAAAAGAGAAGTGAAACCTCCATTGAGCCATAGGGTTAAGGGAAACGAAGAATGGTTAACTGAATCTGCCTCAACAAAGTAATAGAAAAGTGAACGCCCATGTCCTTCATTTGTGACAATATAACCTGAATGTTGTTGAAAAGAGACATTCGTCGGTTGCCCTGGCAATGCTTTTATAAGCTCTCCATTGCAAGATTGCAATAGACAGACAAAAAACAGTATTGTTCCAAGAAACTGAAAATCCATGACAAAGAACTTGATGTTTGTTTCGAGTATGTAAAATTGTTTGCTATATATAGAATTGGACACCATTGAAGATAACGACTGGATGGATTTTCTTATGAGTTCGATATTTGTTTATAGTATTTAAAGCTATAGGAAAAGAATTGTATTTTTGTTGTTTAGAGAAACTTATTCGGCAAAAAGATTCTTGGAAGGTTCAAAATGAATTCAAGTGTATCTACTGCTCTTCATGTTCGAAACTAGTTTTAACTTTAGGGATAATGTTTGCTAGAGTTTTTAGTTAGGCATCACAACTCAACTATAGATATATTAAAAACAAGTGAGCATCGACCTATATAATGGTTCTTATAATCCTGCCAAAATCACTAAAAATGACAAAAGCATCATTGTCTTCTATTTAATGTTTAAATGAAAATAAAATCATATCATAGTAGTTAAAATATGATAATCTAAACTGTAAATAGATCTGAAAAAAAACTTTAAGATTTGAATTGGGAGTTGAGAGTGGCCGTCAACCTGCCCGTGGTGTTGATTTGAGGGAGCAGGAGCGGGATCATTGGTGAGGCGGGAGATGAAGTTGTATTGTACAAGGTATTATGGAATGGGAAAGTATTTTCATTGCCTTTCAATAGAAGATACAAACGAATATATATACAAAACTAACATGGGCTAAGCTAAATACTTAACTAAGTATGGGCTACATACAAGGTTATCATACAACATAGCATATACATGGCTAGTGCGGAGGGTACCACCGTAGGAAGCAATTTCACCATGCGGGCAACTCTCTCTCTCTCTCTCTCTCTCTCTCTCTCTCTCTCCCCCCCCCTATATAGCTTTAGCACTTGTACATTACAAATCGGTTAGAGTTTAATGAAGGTTCTAACTTTTGGGTATAAATAGTGTATGATACCCAACATATGAAGACATACAAACTTTTTTATACAATCTTTGATTCTTATCATCTAAGATTGGTTGAAGAATACTAACGGGTCGTTTGTTTTTTAGCAAAGACTTTTTGGGCATTTACATCTACGGACAGGTAGATGTTTACAGAAAAGACCGTTTATTTTCTGGAAGACAAAAGAACTCGAAAAAACTTTTCATCTCTTTTCCAGAAAGACAAAAAAATAGCACTTCTAATTGCAAAATACATTCATCGCCTCCATTCGCTCTTTCCCTTTCACGTTTGTATCCTACCACACCGGTCATACCTCCGACGGACATCGGTCCTTGATCCGCCTTCGACACTTCTTGCTCTGCCACCGTTACTCCAAGTCGCCGCCGCCACCGCCGACGACTCATCGGATACAGTCTATTCCGCCACTCTTTGTTCTCCTCTCTCGTTTCTCTTTTCTTATCTCCCTCTCAACTTGTATTATTACATTAAACTCCATTAATGTAACATCCTGTTTCGAGAAGTTTCTTATTTCGGGATTGTGGGCAATAAATGGATCAAGTAAAGGCCTTAGGCTTCAATGGAATAAGGTTTAGACACTATTGGATGGTGATAATATTGGTTATGCGATCCAAGCCCTTGATTGTGTCTTTGAGTCAAAGGGTAAAACGGGAAAAATGATGTTTCAGAGTTCTTTTATAAATTTAGGATTTATGTTCGGAAGGTTTTAAGGCAAAGGAGAGTTGACAAGATTGTAGAACTTCTCATTACCTTTCCGTGGATATAAAGAACGTTGAAATCGGAGTTGAAATGAAGAAGTTATGACCGTTTGAAGTTACAAGGATTTTGGGCTAAGACGAGTACGCTGGGCGTACAAGGCTCAAGTGTAACATCCCAATTTTGTCATTGGTAGTCCCTGGGGCTGGAAGGGTAAAGCCATAAGAGACCAAGGGCTAAGTTGTAACTTTTGGGACCAGGAGGGGTACGCTGAGCGTATTAGGGCGTACACTCGTGTACGTTGGGCGTACTCATAAAAGATGGAAACCATAATAATTGGAGTTGGGGGCTATATAAACATCCTTATGGTTCATCCCCTCTCATCACTCTCAGCCTCCATCTTTCAGAAATATTCCAAAACCCTTGTCCTTGTGAGAGAGTGTGAGTTGGTGGGTATTTTGAGCTCTTGAAGGTGGAGTCATTGCATCAAGGAGTTGGAAAAGAAGTTTGGCTTGTAGATCTGAAGTTGTGTTGTACCCTAGAAGCTCCAGAAGGTAAAAAGCTTCAATCTTTATGCTTGTATAACATAGATCTAGCCATTCTAGCATTTTGGAACCATTTCTTGTCCCAAAAG